TATTTTTTTACTATCTTCCTTCTCTCAGCACTCCCAGCTGGGAAATAAAGGATTGCAAACTGCAATCATTTTTACCAGCTGTAAAACAATGGAGCTTAATTAAACAACACGATCTCTCACTGGTAGCTATTTATCACTGTGCAAACCCTTCTGAGAATATTAACTTTATATATATATATTTTTAAAGTATTACTACTATGCTTTCTCATTAGTATTTGTGTGAATCTTACTATAAATCCTCAAAACATAATATAACTAGAAGTCTGTTGCAAGATTAGCTCTCAAAGTCAAGATAAAAATATAACAAGGAAATGCTTTTATTCAATCTGTGTTTCTTGGCAAAACAACCCCAACAACTCAACATCTCATAGAGTTATATTTTTTTCTGTATAATTTGACAGTGTTGCTGTAAAAAATCATTTTACTCAGTGCTGCCCTTGTTTAGGACCACCATGCACTTCCTCTATGGAGACCATTACAACTGGACACTGGCACAGGTTGCCCAGGGACGTGGTGGCTGCCTCAACCCTGGCAGTGTTCAAGGCCAGGTTGGATGAAGCCTTGAGCATCCTGCTCTGATGGGAGGTGTCCCTGCCCAGAGCAGGGGGGTGGGACTAGATGTTCTCCAAGGTCCATTCCAACCCCTAAAATTCTATGATTCATGAATTTTGGTGATGGCCTGAAATTTCTGCCCTCTTTCTAGGTATTTGCTCCACACAACTAGTGTACACCTTGTTCCCAGTTTATCATACGAACATGGAAAATGGACAGAAATCTGCTTTAAACCGCTCGAAATAAAACAAGAGACAACAGCTGAGGACACACAGGGTACCAAAAGGAAACAGAAAATGACAGCTACTTAAGAAGTTAATTATTTTCACATCATCATATCCTAGCAAGAGACTGGTAAGGTGGAAAAGACATAATGTCCTTGGATTAAGTTATGAAGGGGTTCTTGTTACACCAAAAATTGGCATGAGGAAACAGTAAAATGTTGTGCATGGTCATGTTTCATTTGCAGCTCATCAGGGAAGATCACAATCATCAGCTCAGAAATGGAGTTTTATGTCAATGTTGTGAAAGAGACCATGGCAAATGAATATCCTAAAAGGTGAGAAAATGCAGCATTTGATTGGAAACACATACAAACATTTATCAGCACTGGTAAACACTTCTGCAAGAGGATACAACACCCTTTTTACGTGCACTAAATGCTTATAAAAACCACCTATCTCCTGTGCCCTCTGGAGAAAGCACATTTAGATGTGTTAGATGGTCATTTCTCAGGTCTTGGAGTCAAATCATTCCTATTTGCAAGCCTTGGTACAAAACTGGGGCAGATGTGGAAGATGCATGTGGGATGTTTGGAGGGTTGGAACTGGTTGGTTTAGATGTTTCCCCTTGCCTCTCAAGGCCAGCAGCACTTGAGTTACAATCCAGTACAAACCAAACCAGGTTTTTCCTTCAACATAAACAGTCATAAAGTCCAGTGAGGAATCTATTAAGTGGTTTATGGCCGGTCACAGTCACAAGTAAGGTCACCTCTGAGGCAAAAAATGTGTGCCATTTCGGGGTTGGCACAGGTGTCCCTTAACAGCACAACACACACAGTGGAATAAAATGAACTTCCCTAAGAAAAGCCCCAGTGGCAATTGTTTTAACAAACTGAACTGACTGCTCAGACAATTGTGACCATGATTAATCACCCACAAACAGACATTTAAAATGTGATACTCGGTGGCTGTTTGCACTGCACGGAGAAACACGTAATGGCATTGTTGAGATGGAATAAAAGATTAGCACACGTTTTTGGAACGTGTGGATGTGTGCAGTACTTGCCAAATTATCTGAGGCAATGTGGCTTGTTCCACAAACAAAGGAGGGGGTTTACATAAAGTGTTTTACCTTTACTGTAAATAAGTTAGTGTATGGCAACATCTTGATGGAAACTTCTTGTGTTAATCATTTTACTTAAGGAATGCTTTCTGCTTTACTTAAGACAGGTTCTCTTTTACACAGATTCTCACTTGTGTAATGTAGGGGCAAAATAACACCATAGAATCATAGAATTTTAGGAT